AATTTTTTACACCTACTAACATATGTCATAAACTCTTAATTCGTCGTATAAAAAAACTTAACTTTTCCAACTTAGCTAACAAATTTTATTTATTTATTTTTAATTACTATTAGAATTACATATGAGTAAGTTAATGCACCTGGAAATCACAAACCTTCTTCGAAAAAGTCATACTGTCAAAATAGATGGTAATCTACTTCATCAAATTTGAAAAATAGTGAATAAACCTGTAGTACCCGCCTCTATGCTCCAAAAGATAAACAAGTCGTTTCGAGGTTAATGTGTCCGATTTTATAATAAAATCCCAAATGATATTCAAAACTTAATTTAGCGCAGGCTATTTCTTCGGGCGAAATGTAATGTGGGCTAGGGCGTTTTTTAATATTATTATTTTCTATTTTTTATGTTTCACTTCACTTTCTCTTTTATTTGATATTTTTTCCTAATCTTATTTAATCTCTTTTTTGTCTTTTATTCTTTAATAACGGACATACTGGCACACATCAGAACAATGTTGTGGTATATTTAATGATGCCATTGTATTAACCTGTAAATTGCAAAAGAGTGGCCGTGAGTTTATTTGCCTTTTCTTCTCATAAGGCTTAACCAATTGGAAACGGGTGGCTGTAGATCAGCACAGGCATATCATAGATAAGCCGTTGGCGGTGATGCTGTTCCCCAAATAGCGGAGGAAGAAACAGCGCCACCGCCAACGTTTCCAGGGTGCACCAAATTGAGATTTTCTAGCCTAGCACCCCTAGCACCACCCCGCCGCAAACCTCGGTGGGGTGACGGCCCGAGAGGGATTCCACACGTAAAAAAAAAATTGTTGCTATTGTGTATGTGTGGTTCTACGACTTTACATACGAGTATAAGACGATTTCAAACATATTTTTTTTATGTCATAAAGATATTTTCCATTAGAATTTGAAATACAATCAATTTAAAAAATATTTTACAACTAAACAACAGTAGTTAAACATGATGAGCCTGCTGGTCTATTGCTTAGTGAACCTGACTGCTAAGCCAGAGGACATGAGAAATATTGTGTGATGAGCACGATCGCTTATTCTTTGTCTGGGTAAAATTTATCGATGTCGATTACCTATTTAAAAATATTTAATTATATTATTTACCAGCAATCTAGTTACCATTTTTGTTACTAATGGAAACGACAGCGGGTGGTATGTCAGAATAGGTCCGACTAAATCCATCCGGGAACTGCTGTTCAAGACATCCCTCCTAGCGCCTTCCCGCAATAGCGCAGGCGCCAGGAGCACAGGCTCTGCGAAATTTGGGATCAGACGGCCGTTAGTGTATGTGAGAAGTTATTATTCTTATTATTATTCATATGTTATTTTTAAAGTGATATGTTCAAATGTTCTCGAGCAACATTTACGTGAATTTTGGCACAATCTCTGGTATTATTAGAAGCTGTGACCAGAATTTGATTTGATTATCAATAGACATTATAATGGGAATCTATATTTACAAGATAAGTTTATTTTATGTCTTATTGCATCTGTGTCGTTACACATTACGTTCCAGACAGGAAAATAAACATTATGTCGTAATGTCAATTACTTAAATATATTAATTCATTCATCAATTTTAAAGGAATAATTCCCACGGACACGTATTGAGGAAAAATCATAGACGTGGACACGTATTGTTTACAAACTTCGTGGTTCTTGCAAGAAATGAAGTTTTTTTAGTTTTGTGGCTTCTAGAAATCCATGCCTTTTACGTCAACGGTTTTTGTAAATTGTTTTAGTATTGCTCATAACATGGACTTCATAACAGTGAAAGAAAGTCCTGAACATGACGCGTACGAACATAGCGGTTTGTACTAATAATTTTACCAAACTTGATAAACTTGAAATAGTTATTGCTTGTTGATGTAGAAGGTAATAATGATTGTCAGTATTCCTAAAATTGGACTTTAAACAAACGATATCACCAACACTATAGAACACTTTAGTATTTGATTCTAAAAGGAGCTCCTTTAAAAAACATTTCAGCTGAAGTCATTGTCGTCTGATATTAGACAATGGGACGATGAGAACCAAATGAGGAGACGATAGGAACCCTGTTTTTAATAACAGAAGTGACCACAACATTTCCGTAAAACTATCTTACATATATATGTAAACTATAGGTTAAATGCAACGCTGAAAACGGCTCAGTAACTGATCAAATAATGACTTCACCTTTGGTGCGAACCTACGTAAACAATATGTTTAGTGATGGTTAACTGCGAAGACTAGTCATTTTTAATAACTTAAATAAATATTCCGTAAGTGGGAATCGACCGCGAAGTAAATTTTAAATTTGATTTATTTTATTTTATTTTAACATAACATCGTATTTGTGCTGATCTACAGTCTCAAGGTATAACAATTGGTTCATTTTATAATAATATAAACAGGAGCAATAAAATAACAAATAGGTTAACACTTGGTTTTAACTTTTAACAGTCTGCTTATCATAGCCTCGAGAAATGTAATCTTTGGTACAATAACTATAATATAATATAATGCTGAAATGCTTACAGGTAACATCTGAGGCATACTAGGGTGAGAGGATCTTGTGTCAACTAGGGTTAATTTCCGCGTGTTTGGACGATTCTGCATATTTGGGGAATCAAATGTATTGTTCACTTAGGAAGGACCCATAATGTTTTATGTCCTTAATGCTTTCCTATTTATTATAGTGTATGCCTACTTTTGTCGCCCGCTTTGCTGAGGAGGTAAGTAGATTTATTATATTTCCTACTCCTCTAATTTACTTCTGATTAATTTCCTTGCAGGTTCCAAGACAGTTTTAATTTTCCTGGGACTTACAAGTGTCAACACTCGGGGTGTTGGTGGGTCACTGTTGTTGGTCCTGGTATAAAAAAGCTACAGTACGCCCACGTCAGAGGTGTGAGTTCAATTAAGACAATCTAATATCGTGAAATTTCGATACTACTTCGATACTAATATCGTGAAATATCGTATACTCGTTGATAAGCCCTAAACTTAATAGTGTATTTTAAGTAGGATACCATTTTGTAGACACTTTTTTTTTTTCCTTGCGGAAATCCCCTCGGATACCACCTACCGGTGGCTATGTCGGACTCGAACCGACTAAAAACCGCACGCCGTCTCGGGTACCAGTAGCCGGTGTACCCTAGAAAGGAAATCCCTGGTACTCCGACGTACCCCGAGGCATCTACGGCGGGTAGATTACCCTCTCCTGTGTGGGAACCCCCACGTTCCCTTGCTGCTCCTCTCTCTCCTTTTGGGCACACGCGCTCCTCGGCGCGTCTCGCCGCCACCCCGGCCTGCTTCTGCTAGGGTGACAGATGGCCTCACCTGTCAGCCCCAGGCCTATGGAGCCTATGGAGGACGGAGGTCGTTCTGCGACCTCCGGCGCCCGAGTCGTCTGCGGTACCTTACCCGTTCCTGGGCCTGGCGGGCCGGGAGAGTTCTAAACCTCTCCCGGTCCCGCTCCGCCATCTCCTTCGCAAGCATAACTTGCTCGCAGAAGGAGACGGCGGAGTTCCACGCACTCTCGCTCCGTACCATGGCGGTAATCATACTACCGAGCGAGAGGACTCCCACTCCGATGGCCACCACGAGGTGACGCCTCTGCTCCACCCACGCCGGGCATTCTGCCAACGTGTGGAGGGCCGTGTCTACGGCCCACCCATCGCAGTGGTGGCACTCGGGCGTTTCAAACCTTTCCCGGTGATCACCAGCGTCAGCCGGTATGAAAGGGTTCCGTGACGCCTCTCGAGCCAATCCTCTATAATGGGTCTTACCGCCGCAATAACGCCGTGCCCGTCGCTCGGTTGCCCAAGTCGTTCCTTCCGCTCATCATTTTGTAGATTTCGCAAATACAAAATTATATTACCGGCGTTTTTAAATTAAGTAATTAATGAAGTCCTATTTATACTCATAACATATTATGTCCTGAAATTACACTAAGACATTATAAAAAAAAGCCTCGTATCGCGTAATAGTTACAGCACATTATCACGTGCGCTTTGTTGACAGATACGGTGTCGGATTGTTGTTGCTCGCAAGTCACGGCGGTCGACCTAGAGATTTATTTATTTTATCATAAGATTCATGTCATCACTACAGTGTCAATAAGTCGTTATTATACAAAAATATAACATCTTATTTTCGTTCATGTGAATGACGAAACACTAATTAATTAATATTAAGAAAACTTTATGTTTAATACAGAAATTAATCAGATTTAAATTTCACGGTATTTATCTTCTCTAATCTCTTCGTTAGGGTACGTGTATCGTCGCTGTACCAAGGACCAAACAGTGGCCCCTTTTCCACCAAACTGTATGGGAACTCGTACTGTGTTAGTTTACTGAAAGGGTGGTCCAATTGAAGCTATAGATGACAAAATAATCGTCAAAATACCTACCTAAGGTATTAAAACTTGTACCTACTCAGAATTTCATTTAAAGTAAGTTATTATAATAAGGAGTAAGTAGTAAAAAAAAAGATATTAGGAACATGATAGAATTTATACTAAGTGCCTAATGCGAGCTGTGGTCTTACGTGACAGTGATTGGTTCTGTACACTGTTACAACACAGGTATGCCATTTGTATCACACTGAAAATAAATATTTGCTACTGCAGCTTACAGCAAAGCCCCGCCCCACTTTTTTGGGTACAACGTACAGAAACTTTGATAAATATTTTACAAACTATTGGTTGGCGGCTAACTAATCGAGGAATAACGTGATTACTTGAAATCCGCGACCAATAGCGAGCCGGCGCACACGCAGCGGCCGCAACTTTCGCCGAGACAACACACTCGGGACCCAGAATGCACCACATACGTACAACTCCTCGATGATACTCGATTGGCCAGCCTTTTCAAATACCAAACATTCATATCTATTTTACACACATACTTAACACAAGCGCGTCCATAACACAATCTAACATCGAAAATCACGTGTCTCCACAAATTTCAGCAAAACATTATGTTTCCTAAAATCTTGTACTTAACTTATCACAAAACACCACACTTTTTAAAACTGTCTCGAAGTCTGAATGATCCTCGGGAAGAACGCAATGGACGCATCACGTACGATAAAGCGCTTAGAGCGCGCGGCGTGCGTGCGTGTATCAACGCGAGCGGAGCGCGCGAGATAACTAAATGGAATGGCGCGGCCGGATCCGGCGCGCCTCCGCCACGCGCCGCCCGCCCGTAGAAGGGTGCTACGTATTTATAAGTCCGCCGTAACTTACCACACCTACTATTCGCAACACAACCTTTGGGTGAGCACACGCTTCCTACGACACAAGCACCAACAATATCGATATGTCTCACTATACAAGCAGATATCTTCTGGCGGCGTTCGTCGCCATCGCAGCGTTTGCGTACGTCACGGCGAGGCCGTCGACCTACAAGGAGTTTGTGGTGTCCGAAGTTATCAACAAGACAATGTGCCCCATCACGGTGCACATTGATGAAGATCCAGACAGGATTCCGCGGCGCATCAAGTTCCTGAAGTGCGCGGACCGGCCGAACAGCGTGTGCAACGAGCACACGTCGCACGGCTGCTGCAAGCATCACCATCACGGCTATCACAGCGAGTGCGTGGAGATCTACGACTTTGTACAAGTCACCTACAAGGAGTCGAAGGCACAGAGGGCAATGAAAGTGCCGGTGGGCTGCAACTGCCTCATAGAGGAAACCACTCTGGCATCAGACGTGTCTTGAGCCTAAGGAGGCCCGGACCTGGCCCGCACCCATAGTTCCTATACGTTCCACCACTGCTTGCAGTGACTTATTTATTTCGTGAGTGTGCCGAAGCACCGAGGAAGAAGTTAATACTCGCATTTAATTTATTGATTGTTGTGATGGTTGTGATGGCACAGCGAGCGTGCCGCCCGTGCCCAGATAGACCACTAGTGATAATCTGTAGGTAGCTATTTAATTAAATACTCTGTGACTTTTAGTTTTATTGTTATTATATAATTATGTGATCGGGCATTGACGCTATTCTATAGATTTTAGATACTTTAGAAATCCTGAGGTTTCGACCAGGTTGCACCGGCCGTAACTAACCAATAATGTGATTCCCATTGGCGTGTTAATTCCCGATTGATAATTCCCGATTATATCATTGAACGCCAAGAAACGTTTACAAATTAGTTAGTATTATTGTTGTAAGAAATGATGCGCTGGCGCATCTTTATTAAATTATTTACCTGGTACTAAACCGAGCTGGTATCGGTCATGTTGAATAAAATAAGATTTTTATAATGATTTTTGTGTTTACTTTACATCTCCCTGGTATTGTGCGATTTTGCTTTTAAGTCTGAACTCTGATTATGAACACCAGATAGATAACTATTCAAGAAAGGGCGGGACACTTACACTAAACATTATTTTTTTACATAATTAGCAATGTGCGTGGAAAGTAGTTTTTTTTTTTGTTATTTAAAAAAAAAAGACAACTCCCGCACTTGGAATACATCCTGTGTCGCGGGGGACTTTACAAACATACCTGAAACGGACACAAAGAACACCCAGACCCAGATCGAACCCACAACACTCAGCGTAGTAGTAAGCGGCGTGGCGACCGCTTAAACCACTACGCTACAAATGCTTAGAAAGATCTACTTGACTTGAAACGAGAAGGTTTACGTAGTTTAGGTCATTGGGATATAGGTAAAAGTATTTTATTTTGTAAATAAATGTAGAACTAAATATTTGAGGGTCCATTCGCTCGATGAGTCAGGAGTTCTGCGGTGAGTCACGTCCGCAGCTAAGCCTCATCGTCCTTTACAAAGTAACTGTTCTTCGCTATTTGATTTCACCTTAATCAATACACTCAGTGTTGGTAAGTACTTCATACATCAACTACTGAAGGTACGCTCTACTCAACAGTTTGAGAGTACCGGATGTACCGGTGTCTTCAATGTCTCCGTCATCGTAAACTGTAAAAACTATAAGTACATAATTAACTTTTTTTAAATTCTGTCATGGTCTTCAAGGTAAATTTTAATAAACCGTATTGTACAGGCTTCAATTCACCACCAGGGTTGGTCTTTTTTCCAACCAATCATTCCTCTCAGACGGGCAACCAAAACAAAATTAATTACATAAAATTACCTTACAAAATATTACTTGATACTTATCAATTTCATTTTCATGCAAATAATATCAGATAATCAAGGATTAGTACATTAGATACAAAAAGTCTCCGAGGAAATAAGTGACTTGTTTTGGTTTATCGAGTGGATCATTAAATGTTATTGTATTTTCTTCGGTGTAACTACCGGCGGTCTGAGCTTCGCTATTGAACACAAATTATATGGGAAATATCACACATCGCGTTGCTACGTGTATTTGCCAACCGCCAAATATTTTACTTAATTATAGGTAGAGTAGCTGACCCGGCAAACTTTGTTTTGCCATATAAATTATTTCAAAAAAAATTGTCAAAAAAATAAAATAAAATTAGGGGTATGAAAAATAGATGTTGGCCGATTCTCAGACTTACTCGAGCCGTTTCGGATGAATTCAACCACGCACACCGTGACACGAGAATTTTATATATTAGACTAGCTGACCCGGCAAACGTTGTATTGCAAAACAAAAAAAAAATACGGATGGGTCACCCTTACCATTTAGGGGTATGAAAAATAGATGTTGGCCGATTCTCAGACCTACCCGATGTGCACACAAAATTTCATGAGAATCGGTCAAGCCGTTTCGGAGGAGTACGGGAACGAACATTGTGACACGAGAATTTTATATATAAGATAGATAGAAAACTCTGACGCCATTTATAAATAATAACAGTCCTCAAAATGGAGACCAATATTAATTCGAAACATAAATTTAAATTTGAACTGTTTTAGACGCACATATCTTTATCGAGGTAATGGTCAAACATGTCGATCAGGCAATATTATTTAACATCTTTAATGTACACATGTTTATAGAAATAAAATATCTTGTATCTTGAGGTGTTGCTGAAATGAGCGCTTAAATGCTGAGCAACATCTCCTTTTGATGAACACTACGACGCAATTCTACAGCAAAAATCTTATGTACCTATATTATATGTTTTTGTGTTATGTGTAAGAATATATAGAAATATATTTATATATATACAGTTACGATTTTAATTTACAACTATGTTAATTATTACTGTGTTTAATACTACATTATGTTCTATTTCTGTACGTGTTACAATACATATTCTGAGTCTGTACAATAATATTTTGATTGTGTTGCAATGTCATTAAAATAAAACTTCATTCATTCTTAATTTCATTCCGTCTTCTTTATATTTGTGCACCATTTTACTTTGATTAATATTATTCCAAGCAACCTTAGGAAGGATCACAATGTTTCGGAGAGACAATAGTAGCTGACTGTGCAATGTATTTTGAAAGGTTAATTGCTAATTATTTACATCAAATTCAAACATCTGAAACGCATCATTTAACACGCGGTGTATCACAATTCAGAGCCCTTAGTAGTGAGTCTACATATCCCGCATATTTCGTATATGGTAGTGAAATGTACAATGTAATTTTCGAGAAACTGGTCAGAAAAGATATTATTTTATATGACAAAATTTTCATTAATTCGGTGATCGATATTCGATGATTTATTTCAATTCATATGAATCGATCGTATATGGGGACATAACTTGTTTTATTGCCAAAATTTACTCGAACTCAAGTTTGAGTAATAATAATTTAGTTTCACATCAACATTGTAGTTCTTATACTCGTACATACATATTTGATGATTTCATTATAAATGATTATTTGTAAGGTTTGTTGTTAGTATTCCTTTTGTTAAACCTGACTTGCGACTGCCACACACTTTGGCAATTATCTTATATTCAACTAGCTGAGACCCGCGGTGTTACCCGCCTTTGTTGTTATAACCGCGGGCAACGCCGCGGGGCGAAGCTAGTCTAAAAAAAGTTGCCTAAGTTACTCCTTATATCATCAGCTATCTGCCAGTGAAAATCCCGTCGAAATCGGTCCAGCCGTTCCAGAGGTTACCCGGAACAAACAGACAGACAGACCAAAATTGTAAAAAATGTTATTTTGGCATATGCACCGTGTAAACATACATATGCATTTGGTAAAAAGCGGTTATTTTAATATTACAAACAGACACTCCAATTTATTTATTTGTATAGATGAAATCCATTAGAATTCATTAGTAAAGCCATTTAAAAAGTTATTAGCTCGCTTGTTTTACACAAACATAGCTTATTATAGCAATTAGTAATATTATTCCTAATATTAGGAGATGGGATTAAAGTAATTAAAAAAAACTGAACTCAAATCTGTTTTGCAAAAATATCAATTCAGATCCCCTAATCTCAAATACTTTAGTATTAAGAGACCACGACCAGTACCCAGACCCGGACAGACGCAGACATCGGTGTAGAACTTTATAAGCTTTTGAAACGCACACAAAGCAACTTAACATTTTTATATGTGTATTGATTGAAATAATAATTTAAGGTAATTCTTTAGCTATAGAAAATAAATCACATGAAACAATCTACGGTAGAAAAATAGAAAGTGTTACACTTATACGCAAAGCAATTAATGAAAAATATATTTGTAGGTAAAATAAATATTAACATCCATCAGGATCGAACCTACAGTCGAGGTTGTAACAATTACATACGGAACCACTCGTAACATTATTTATGTATGCCACCCCTCGCAGAGCATATTAGTTAATTGTATTCAATTTGTATACACTATTGTTCACTTAATTGTTTTAAAGTAAAAGTTACCTAAACGCTCTTTAATCAACAAAAAACCGAAAGGGATTTACCGAGATGACACATAGGTGTGTATATAAGCGCACCTCAGCGCCACTCCGAATCACATCGCAAGATAATCACACGCCGCGCACAAGTGCCCCGGACTGCACACGCTCAATTTCCTCCTCACCGATCATTATTGTCGACATGTGCTTCAAGGTGTTGGTCGCGCTCGCGTGCCTCGTGGCCGCGCTCTCGCTCGTGCCCAGTGCTTCGGCGATCCCCAGTGGTCTGCTCTCCGAGCTGGTCGATCAGTCCATCTGCGAATCTGTGGTGGACTACGACGAGGATCCCGACAGAATTCCGCGTATTATCAAACAAGTGAAGTGCGCCCCTAAACCCGACAAGATGTGCCCTGTCCACGACGGCAAGGGCGGCCAGGCGTCTTGCTGCGAGCAAAATTCGTATCTAAACTTCAGGTTCTCGTGCAAGGAGGTGATCGACACGGTGCTGGTGAGCGACGCTAAAGGTGACACGAGTCCGATGCTCGTGTCTGTTGGATGCGCCTGCGCCATGGCGAAATCTACGGCCGCCATCGAAATTGATAATAGATAACTACGAGAACCCAACTCTTCTAGTAATAATATGCGCCACGACAGCTCATAAGTATTTAGTAAATTAGCTCAATTGAATGTTCCTAAGACTGATACAGTATTCTAGAATAAGGATAACAGTATTTTTGTAAGTTAGTACCTAGTTAATGAAAGCTATTCAAGACGTGAACCATGAATGTGTTAAAATGTTTATTGTTGAATGTACGAATTATTTATTAAATGTATGTGTTTTGTTGTAAAAACAAACTGAATGTAATGAAGAGAAATGTGTTTTTTTGTGATTTTTTTTTAAATTCAACTTAGATGTAATAAAAATTAAAAGAGAATACTAAATTTTTGTACCTTTTATTTTAAGTCAGCGCTCCACTACTGTGCGTGTTTCGAGACTCTTTTTGCCCCGCACAACCTATCCGTGGAACGGGTTATCGTCTGCAGTATTGCCGGACCGATACGACCTTCAAACTTTAAAGAAAAGAGCGTCCTCCTTCCTGAAAGGCCGGCAACGCGTTTGTAACTCCTGAGTTGCAGACGTTTTTGGGCGGCGATGGTCACTTTCCATCAGTTCTGCTCGTGTGCCCCCTCTAACAAAACAAAGTAAAAAAAAATAAGTAGATATAAAATATTTGACATCCATTTTATGATTTAATGACACCACCAGTAAATGTTAATGTGACACGCCTTTAATAGTGCTAAGATATAGAAGCTTTGCAGTTGTAATATAAGTATGAATTGGGATACACATCAGAGCTCAATATTTTCGCAAAATATGTCTTTAAATCAATGTGGTCCTTTTCTCAGCCCAGCCTTTCAGGATTTTTTTTTATATCGTGAGTAGTTAAGACGTGAAAACCTGACAAACAAACAAATAAAGTGACCTTCCTATTAGGTTTAAGAATTTATAAAAAGTATTTAATTTTTTTATTTATTCTTACGTACACAATATAAACATTAATATAAAAAATACATTAAGGAGTAGTGGGCGAGCTTAACCCATAATTGAGTTCTCTTCCAGCAAACCCAAGAGTGAAGAGAGGATAGCACAACAAGAGAGAGTCGTGTGTACAGAGTAAATTTAAGAAAATATAGAGAAATAGAAATATAAACGAAATAACCTAATATCATGTAAATAAACCGTAATATAACACAAGTTCACACATCAATAACCATATGTAACATTAAATATCTAATACCTACATGCATACATAATTATATTAGTCTGTTACTGCTGAGAAAGGAAAAAATCTATGATTCGCCTCTTAAAAACCACTTAAGGATGGGCTATCGCGTATTGAGTGGGGAAGAGAATTCCACAGTCGCACCGCAGACACAGTGAAAGACTTGTCATAGCGGGTTGAAATATGAGAAGGAGTTCGAAGGAGAAGAGAAGATGAGGTGCGACAAGGTCTACTTCTGGGGACAAGATAATCAAAGCGCTCACCCAGATATACGGGATAGGTAGGGTTATGAAGAACCGAATACAGTAAAGAAAGTATATGAACATCTCGACGCCGCCGAATGCCGACACATGGTCAAACTTTCTTAGGCCAAATATAAAGCGAATGCATAAATTCTGCAATCGCTCAAGCTTATCCCAAAGTTGTTCAGTAGCGTCAAGAAAGGAGACATCAGCATAGTCTAAAAGGGGAAGGAGAAGGGATTATGAAAGACAGATTTTAGTTTGCAAGGGAAGAAAATTTTGAAGGCGCTTTAAGGAATGATAGGTACTAAAGACTTTTTTACTTACCTCAGTGACATGTGTAGTCCATGACATGCAATTGTCAATGAAAACTCCGAGATTTTTTACTGAAGACGAGTAAGAGACGAGAACATTGATGTAAAAAACTGGCGGTAGTGTGGAATGATTTAGTCTACTGTATATGTATCTGCCACCAATAACTATTGCTTGAGATTTCGTGGGGTTGACAAGCAGCCCATATGAAATAAACAAAATCACGATTCACAGAAAACTTAGAGGACATTATAAAGTATAATTTTAAGAAAAAATATACATAAGTGCGGTGACAATGTAGTGGCTCAGACATTTGACCTTCGATTAAAAACTTGCGGTTTCGAAGCAATTACGCATACAGTGCTTTTAACACACCTAAGCATATCGATTAGTTATCAGGGGTTTACAATTATTATAATCATTATTTTCAGACCATAGACCATAGAGCATAGAGATGCAGTCCATAGTGTTAGTGTATTAATAACAATTTGCTTATAATTAAGTTACTATTATAAGTATCATTTCATTAAATTTATTTTATATCATACCCATAGGTAACTGCCCTTATACATTTTTAATTAATAGGGCTGTCGAACCTTGTAGCAACGACTTTCAGAATGCTTTCCTTGAACACATCAGTTTGCATTTCGGCAAACATTCCGGAGGCGCTACAGCGTCGCGGCATCCCCAACAACATTCTGAAAGCATGGTTATACTGAATACGTACACATTCTACTCGAGTAAAAGGACTGACAAAATGCTTTAAAAAGCATTACCTATCTTAACTTCTTCCGTACATCGAGCAAACCTGCGAGCGAGCATGTTTAATGTACATAATTGTAATGAAAAATATAACGAGCTCGGAGTTTTCTTTTTACCAACTGATAACTTGCCTCCTGGGTATTCTTAACTTGTTTGTGTCGCTGGCAAACAAGAATATGACCCGTTTGATGGTTAACGGTTACCATTACCTGTAGACGCTTACGACTTCAATTGACTTGCATGCGTGCTGGCGCTTTTCTAAAACTTGAAACTTCTTTACGTTGATAGAATGCAACCGTAGGCAACATGTTAAACAGTTTCTTGAAACAACTCCTTCATACAGGCGATGTAGACACAAGCGGTGAAACAAGCCCAGGGAACCCTCCCTTAGGCTTAGATAATAGTTCAATGCTGTTTAGGTATTAGCTAAGGATCGGCGACAGAAAACAAAAAGAAACAAAAACAAATTAAAAGTTATAGAAAAACAAACGAAAAATTCCTAGACAGAGACTGATTTTATAGTTTTATAGGGTAAGCCAAGTGGTGTGTATCAACAAGTTCAAGGTCGGGCGACGGCGTCTGCCCCTCATTAGGCGCTTCTTGACGGGACGTAGCGGGGGGTGCCGCCGTCTATTCGACCTACATCACTCTTTGTTTACGGTAATCTACTGTTTGGGTACCTGTCTGCCGCCTCGTAATCATAGTAGTTACCAATCACACTTAAAGTACTAAACACTCTTACCATATCACAATCAGTTATTGACTGGTGTTGTAGTTACCTGGTTAGCCTCCGGAAGCGTATATAATATCTTACTTAACCTAAAACTCCCATTAGAGAAATCTTGTACTTGAGATCATCAGGTAATCTTGCCTTCTTACACACCACAAATCACATAGGTACCTATTACTACACCTCATCACAATCATCAACAGCCTATAACAGTCCACTGCTGGACATAGGCCTCTCCTTAGAAAGGAGGTTTTGGCCTACTATACCAGGCTGGCCAGACGGGGCTCTTACGACACCTACGGGATGAATACTTCACCTAGTTCGTCACAAAACAAACGATCGTGATCATCACAGGATATTTATTCTGGATGGGAATCGGAACCCACGAACTGGCTAGCAGTGAGCATCTCTGATCACTAGGCCAACACACCAGTGATTTCAATACTTTCTACATTTTATTCTTGTGTAGGAGGATTCACAATTTTTTTTTGTAAATAACACAGCTCACCGACCAAAACACAGCTTTTAGCCGTATATTACAATTATGAATAAAAATTAAGTATACTTACAATGGTGACGTTTATCGCAATGAACATTACATAGTGAGTACGGGATACGACCTCCTACATCTCCACGATGTCAATCACTGAGGCGGATATAGGCGGTTGGACAACTGACCCGGATCTCTGGCACGCTATCAAATGTATACAAAACAATAAGAATGTAACTGAACCACGGCCGAGCGACGCTAAAAAAACTTTCAGGCTGCCATTTTGGATAATAAAAATAGAACATGAAAATAAATAAAAAACAGATGGCACCAGCGCCATGAGTGTGGGAATATATGAGAACCTATGTTCTCAAGTGTTCCAGCGGGGCGGACTGTGGGCGGTGAACAGGGGCGGGGCGTTGGCGCGCCTACCTGCGCACGCGCATATAACGCCCTATGCGGCACATGTGACTACTACATTCACTCATGTTAATTTCTGAATCCATCCCATGGTCAGTTAACTGCATGCGTTTCAAGGATTACATATATTTCACACTTTTTTTTGTGACAAGGTGAAGCTATGAATGGACTGGGCCAATCAAATAAACCTTAACGTACAAATTTTTGTTCTATTTCTTTCCAGGTTGACGTCAGAAAAAAATAAGAAAACGTATTACGCCTGAAAGACAGCACGAAACTTGTCAAGGAGGCTGCCAGAAAAAAACCAGTAACATTAAACAAACCATCTCGAATTTATGGTGTTCCGAAAGCAGCTTTGGAACGAAAATTGGATGGAAATAAACCAAAAAGCTATGGAAGGCATTGAATTTATAGGATCTTTTCAAAAGATTTTTCAAAAACGGGAATCTAAAACAAAGATGTTCGCAGACAATGAGCCACTGAAGAAGAACCAAATGAGAATATTGAAATGTCATCTGCAATATACATACCTATAGGTACATATATGTATAGGTATACTTCCCATGGGATGACTCATCTGCTCGTTTGTTACCTTACACCATAAAAAAGTTATGAAATGTAACGTTGATTGAAATTTAGGTAATTGTTAGTGTTACTATTAATAAAAAAATGATTAAAATTGCGTGTTATAATCAAAGATTGCATTAAATGCAACATAAAAGCTTGTTATATGCATCCAAATATGCATGAAAAATGCTCGAAATATGAAAAAAATTGGCAGAATATACGAAATTAAATGATAAGTTTTAGAAACCCAAAAAATAAAGATAATGGGTTTTAATTTTTTATTTCAAAATCAGCGTACAATTA